TACTTCTGTATACCTGAAAGAATCCTTTTGGGTTAGTCTTCGATTCTCTTGCAACTTTAAACCTCATAATCTCTTTTTGCTTTTCTAATTCCCTTTTTTATTTCTCTCTTTAACTGATATATCGATTTCTCAATTGCCCCTCTCCTTTTGATTTGCCTATATATGCCTCTCTTTTGACCAATCAGATATTTTAATCTATTGTTCATCCATTTAGGATCATTTTTGTTTGATCTGATTTCCCTATTTGGAACATAATTTGACTGAGCAGCTAGAACTATGCCCTGGAAAGCATCATATCGGCAACCATCACCACCTACCTGACCTTAGTCAGGTCATTCCAGTTCAGCCCACCTAAGTAATTTTTCAGTCCTATGAAATCAGCCAAGCGAAAGTTAGGGACGGAGACTTGATTGCCATTATTAGGGAATTCCATGATATATTAAAACTGAGTGATTTGTGATCACTTTCCCCAAGCTCATCATTAACCTCAAGATTATTAATTAGTGTTTCCCTACTGGCAAGAACCAAGTCAAGGAGGTTATTTCCCCTAGTTGGCTCTGTCACAAACTGTTTTAAAAAACAATCCTGGATCGTATCAAGAAAGTCACCTGACTCTAAATTTCCTGTCAAATTGCTCCAGTCAATCTGTCTATTTTTGGCTAATTCCATTGTTTCAGTCGACCAAACTCATAGCTATTTCTTTAGAACTCCATTTTTTCTATCGATTGAGTACAAGAAACTGCCCATTTACCAATTTTAACTACCCAATAATGAGGTCAGAAATTTGCAATTTGGCCAATTTCACGAAAACTAAAAAAAATGACAATTTCAAAATAAGGTCCAGAATGAACAATGCAGACATTCCTGGCTCTAAAATAACATTTTCTTTGTTCATCAGTCATGTCTCCAGGCCCCTCTGATATTACTCTTGCTTTCTATTTTGAATTTTTATTCAAACAAAAAATGGAAGATTTACTATTATGTAGACTACTGCAATACTGTAATAATTGTATAAATAACATCAACTCATTCATGACTGTATATTAGAATGGCTAGTTGGACATTTATTGGACAATGACATCATTTGTTTACTTTTGAACATCGGCAAAAATCAAACATTTCCCCTACTTTGAGCTCCATTTCCAGGTTCTTTTTATAGTAAAATCAATCAAAATCACATCTATTTCTATAATATGTTTTCCATTCTATCATATGAGACCAAGAAAACGAGAATACAACCAGAAATACTATACGAAAATAGACCACAAAGTCGGCATTTTAATTAAAAAAATGGTCGGAGTTTTTTTTTTCTCATTATGCACTGCGTGCTCCAGGATTTTTTTTATATGGTACACATTGACCACACAGACCCATTCTCTCACATGTGGGCCTACCAGCTTTCTTCTTCTTGATTTGAAGCTGCTAGAATTTATGAGTATATATACATCAAACACGGTACCTCGTAAGACATATATATATGACCGCGACAGTCAAAGGGTTAAAACTCACACTATCACTACCCATACCACTATCTATTTCTAGTTTAAAGACCTAACAGCTCCCTCCACTGCATTGGCCAGTGCTCCCACCCCAAACCTAGATAAGTGAACTCCATCCCTGGCATACATGTCATTTCTGCCATAGAAGAGGTCCCAGTTGTCTATGAATGCTACTGCATTTTCCTTACAGTGTTTGTCCAGCCAGCAGTTGACACCAATTGCCCTGGACAACCATTCATTTCCAACTCGTCTCCTAGGCAAAATACCACATATCACAGGGTTCCCACCATTTTTTCTAATTATCTCTATTGCTGTCCTATACCTGCTAATCAGGTCTTCACTCCTATGTCTGCCAACATCTTTGCCTTCCGCACTGAGGCAGATAATAGGATTACTCCCATTACCTTTCATGATGTCATCCAGATGGCTAACAATATCCCCCATCCCAGCCATAGGAAAACATACCCTCTGCCTCGTCTTCACTGTTCCCAACTAAAACAATGTTCTTACTTTCACTTGTGGAGTTCGTAGTGACATTTTCGATGGTCATCGTTGGGGTTTCAAAGGATGTCGACTCACCCTCCTCTGTCAATGATTCCCTGGTACTCATTGCGACATTTCCAGTTGACAACACACATTTGTCTGGTAACACCGAAAATGGGTTGGAAGTCTCCACAGCAGACTTCTGGCTCTTCGTTGTTTCTGCCACTCCAACAGTCTTCTTGATTTTCAGCTTCGTTCCATGTTGGCAGGCCACTGACCAGGTTCTTCTCTTGACCTGAGGACTCACAACAGGAGGATTACTTCGAATCCTCTTGTTTTTTTCCGTCAGTCGAAGTATCTCAAGCTTAGCAACCCTAAGCTCCTCGTTTAGCTGCTGGTACAGTTGCTCAAGAGAGGACATCTTGTGCAAATTCACGGAGAACACACTGGACAGATCTTCACCTGTATTTCTATAATGTGTTTTCCATTCTATCAAATGAGACCAAGAAAACGAGAATACACCCATAAATACCATACAAAAATAGACCACAAAGTCGGTATTTTAATTAAAAAAAAAACGGTCGGAGTTTTTTTTTCTCTCATTGTTCACTGCATGCTGAGGATCTTTTTGTAATATGGTGCACACTGACCACTACAGACATTCTTCACATGTGGGTCCTACAGGCTTTTCCTGCTTGCATTTGAAGCGAACAGAATTTATGAGTATACATACAGTTAAAAAACGGTTTTTATAAAGGCATTTCTATATGACCAATAACAGTCAAAGGGAAAGAAGCATTCCACAGTGGAGGCAGAAGCTTCTTGGAAACAGTGAATAGGGTGAGTACACCACCAAGTGCTTGACACAATACATATAAACTCAAGGTAAATGAGCACACTAGAGGCAAAATAAATACATGATAAGGCGATGAGGCATTATACATCATGCTTGGGCTCTAAAATACTAAGGAAGAGGTGAGGAGGCTGCTAAGCAAAATAAATACCTCAAAGGCAATGAGGCCGGATAACATCGCTCCGTGGGTCCTGAGATAGGGAGCAGAGGCACTCTGTGTTCCACTAACAACACTCTTCAACACATCTATCAAAACAGGGCAGCTCCCTGAGGTATGGGAGACAGGAAATGTAGTCCCAATTCTTAAAAAAATGGAGACAGACAAGCAGCACTAAACTACAGACCAGTATCATTGACATGCATTGTATGCAAAGTCATGGAGAAGATAATCAAAGAGTGGTGGAGCACCTAGAAAGGAATGAGCATATCAACGACAATCAGCATGGATTCAGGGACGGGAAATCCTGTGTCACAAACCTACTGGAGTTCTATTACAAGGTGACAAGAGTAAGACAAGAGAGAGAGAGAGAGAGGGGTGGGTAGATTGCATTTTCTTGACTGTAAGAAGGTTTTTGACACAGTTCCACTGCAATGGATCAGAGAATACCTGACAGGAAGGCAGCTAGCAGTGAGTCATGGTATGCGATGAGGTGTTGGAGTGTGTGCCTGTGAAGAGCAGGGTTCCACAGGGGTCAGTCCTAGGGCTGGTGATGTTTCTTGTGTATGTGAATGACATGATGGAAGGAATAGACTCAGAAGTGCAGACAATGTCAAGTTAATGAGGAAAATTTAGTTGGAGGAGGACCAGGCAGGACTACAAAGGGATCTGAACAGACTACAGGCCTGGTCCAGCAAATGGCTCCTGGAGTTCAACTCTGCCAAGTGCAAAGTCATGAAGATCGGGGAAGGGCGAAGAAGATCGAAGACAGAATACAGTCTAGGGGGCCAAAGAGTACAAACATCACTCAAGGAAAAGGATCTTTGAGTGAGTATAACACCAAACACATCTGAGATGCACATCAACGAAATAACTGTTGTGGCATATGAGCGACTAGCAAACCTAAGAACAGCATTCTGACATCTCAGCAAGGAATCATTCAGGATTCTGCACACTGTGTACATCAGGCCCAAACTGGAGTATGCAGCACCAGTTTGGAATCTACATTAAGGGGCATGTCCTACAAGGAGAGGTTAAGAGAACTCGACCTGATTACAATGGTGGACATGAGGGATAGGGGGAGAGGGGGACATGATAACGACATATAAAATACTGAGAGGAATCGACACGGTGGACAGAGACAGGATGTTCCAGGGATGGGACACAGCAACAAGGGGTAACAACTGGAAGCTGAAGATTCAGATGAGTCACAGGGATGTTAGGAAGTATTTTTTCAGTCAAAGAGTTGTCAGGAAGTGAAACAATCTGGAGAATGTCATAGTGGAGGCAGGATCTATACAAAGCTTTAAGAAGAATGGGTTTAAAGCTCATAGGGGCGGGAAAGACTTTTTGACTTAGTGAAACCCACAGATGCAGGGCCAGGAGTGTAAATTTCAACCCCTGCGCCACAAATAGATGGGGTACAACACTTTAAAACACACAAAAAAAAACAAAAAACCACAACCCCCCCCCACACTTAAAAAACACACACTTTCACACATTCTCGCTCTCTCTCTTTCTCTCTCTTTTTTTCCACACACACACACACACACACACACACACCCCACCCCACACAAAACACACACACACACACACAACACAACAAACACACCCCACACACACCCCCACTCACACTCACTCTCACTCACTCTCACTCACTCTCACTCACTCTCACTTACTCTCACTCTCACTCACTCTCACTCTCACTCACTCTCACTCTCACTCACTCTCACTCTCACTCTCACTCTCTCTCTCTCACTAACTCACTCACTCTCTCAATCATTTTTAGTGTGGTTCTTGTTAAGCACATTTATATTTTTGCTCTCCACCGGATATCAATTAAGAATTTTGAACTAAAACTGGAAGTTAAAATGTGGAGATGAACAACAGTGTAAGGTTAAGTGGGTTCTAGTTAACTGACCATTTATCCTATATTATAATACATTATTTTATGTCCTTCCAAAACATATGAAAATAACCAGTACAATAGGTAATAGGCTCGACTTACCTGTGCTAAGTCAAACATTCTGAGGTCAGAGTACATGTTCATGGCTAGTGAGTCTCTTGCACTCTTGCGGTATAATTTAGCAGCCTCGGAGAACCTGCCTTCAAATGCTAGTATGTCACCCAGAAAGATGTTGTTATCGACCTCATCTTTGTGTCCACGTTCCTGAAGAATAAACATGATTACCCAATACAGTAATACCTTGCATAGTATGGTTTGAATGGAATGGGTTTTGATATAACATGGTTCATAAATTTAATAAATTTATAAACTGTACCATTCCAGACTCCCAGCAGTGAAGTTGTGCAATTTTTTACAATACATACATACAGTATAGGCAATTTTTTCATTATCATATAAAGTACTGGTACCCTTTTATATACACAAACATGAGTGGAAAGGAAAAATGCAATGATGCTGAACACTAAGTAAACATAAATGGTCATCATTATTAGAAAAACTAGTAATTACAAAACAGATGAAGATGGTGCATCATATCTAAATAACAGCTGACAAGGAGGATTACTTCACTGTAAAAGTAGGCCTTAGACAGGGATGTGTAATGTCACCATGAGGTTATAAAAGAAGTAAATGCTTAGGGTGTAGGGAAAGAGGGGTAGGAATGAATTATGGGAATCAAATACAAAATAGGAATTAACACATTTACTCTTTGCTGATGACTCTGTGCATTTGAGAGCTTCTAATGAGAAGTTGAAAGTGAACATACAGTAGACCCTTATATAACATGGATTTATATGCCACATTTTGGTTGTTGCACTATTGAAAAATTGCGGCACAGTTTTACACAACACTTCGTAAAATTAACTTAACACGGTTCCATTTGTGAGTGCAGAAAAAATTTCCCCAGCTCAAACTGCTTCCTTGTTGTGGGTCAGCGGGGGAGACCTACCGCCATCCCCTGCCACCACCATCCCAGGATTCGTTCATACGTGTTTAGTTCCATTGTCTTAGAAGCTAGCTGTGCTTGTGAATTGTTTTGATCTTTTAATTTTCATATCTGTATCTGCCAAGTAATCATGGCACCCAGTAGGCATACGAGTGTTGCTGAAAGTGGCAAGAATAGGTATAAGCATTTAAGTCTTAGAATTAATGAAGAAAATAGAGATATTAGACAAGAGATAGCCTGTGGCCATAATGAAGTGTCAGTTTGTACAATTAACCCATAAACGGTCCAAACGTATACAGGTACCATCTGACTCACGACCAAGCTTGGTTCCGACCAACTGGTCGTAAGTCAAAATGGACGTAAGTCGAACCTTACTTCTGAATATCAACATCACACTTTTGTAATGATTTTATTTTATTGTTTTTTGTATTTCATTTTTTCCTTTACTTTTTATGCTGTTAGTACTGTATTTCATACCATAAGGTTTAGGATAAACACTGTGAACAACACAAACAGTTTATTTCCCAGAAATTTGGCATAAAAAACATGGTCGCAAGTCGAGTGGTTGTATGGCGAGCAGGTCGTAAGTCGGATGGTAGATGCATATACAGTGGTCCCCCGCTTTTCGTAGTTCCCGGCAATCGTAAAATTCGCCAATCATGGGGGTATTTTCATATAAACATGGACTCGCTTTTCATAGGTTGACTCGCGAGTCGTAGTTCGTCCGGGACGCGTACCCACGGCGTGAGTTGGGGCGGCAGCAAGTCTGGCATTGTTCACCAGTGAGCGAAGGTCCCCTCATGTGCTCCAGCGAAATATTTCATAATATTCCATTTATTTTAGTGCTTGCAAGTGCTAAATAAGCTACCATGGCTCCAAAGAAAGCTCCTAGTGCCAAGCCTGTGGTAAAGAAGGCGAGAAATACAATTGAATTTAAGAAAACCATCATTAAACAATATGAAAGTGGTACAAGTGTGGCCGAACTGTCCAGGATGTATAAGAAATCCTACACAACCTTATGTTCCATAGTGGCCAAGAAAAAGGAAATAAAGGATGCTGTTGTTGCAAAGGGAGTAACTATGCTGACAAAAATGAGATCACCAGTACTGGAAGAGGTTGAGAAGTTATTATTGGTGTGGATAAATGAGAATACAATTAGCAGGAGATTACTCTTATGACTTCGATTATTTGTGAAAAGGCTAGGCAGTTGCATGAAGATTTGGTAAAGAAATTGCCTGCAAATAGTGGTGAAGAGAGTGAATTTAAGGCCAGCAAAGGCTGGTTTGAGAGATTTAAGAACCGTACTGGCATACACAGTGTAGTAAGGCATGGTGAGGCTGCCAGTTCGGACCACAAGGCGGCTGAAAAATATGTGCATGAGTTCCAGGAGTACATAAACAGTGAAGGACTGAAACCTGAACAAGTGTTTAATTGTGACGAAACAGGCCTCTTTTGGAAGAAAATGCCAAAGAGGACCTTCATTACACAAGAGGAAAAGGCAATGCCAGGACACAAGCCTATGAAAGACAGGCTGATGCTAATGTTCTGTGCTAATGCTAGTGGGGATTTCAAAGTGAAGCCATTACTAGTGTACCATTCTGAAAATCCCAGAGTGTTCAGGAAAAACAATGTTATGAAGAGTAAATTGTGTGTGTTTTGGAAATCTAATAGTAAGGCATGGGTCATGAGGGAAATTTTCGTCGAGTGGTTCAATGAAGTGTTTGGCCCTAGTGTGAAGGAGCATCTCCTGGAAAAGAAATTGGATCTCAAGTGCCTGCTAGTAATGGACAATGCACCTGCTCATCTCCAAACTTGGATGACCTAATTTTCAAGGAGTTTGGGTTCATCACAGTAAAGTTCTTGCCCTGAATACCACTCCTCTCCTCCAACCCATGGACCAGCAGGTTATTGCAAACTTTAAAAAAACTTACACAAAAGCAATGTTTCACAGGTACTTGACTGTGACCACAGACACTCACTTGACCCTAAGGGATTTTGGAGAGAAACACTTCAGCATCCTCCACTGCATAACACTTATAGGTATGGCTTGGGAGGGAGTGACTACCAGGACTTTGAACTCTGCCTGGAGAAAATTGTGGCCAGATTGTGTCGACAAGAGGGATTTTGAAGGATTTGGGACTGACCCTAATGAGCCTATGTCTGTTGTAAAATCAATTGTGGCACTGGGGAGTTCCATGGGGTTGGATGTGAGTTTGGAGGATGTGGAAGAATTGGTGGAAGACCACAATGAAGAGCTCACCACTGAGGAGCTGCAAGAGCTTCAGCAGGGAGAGCAACACATCGCAGCTCAGAATCTTGCTGCAGAGGAGGAGGAAGAGAGATGGAAGAAGGTGCCTTCTTCAGAAATTAAAGAGATTTTTACTATGTGGGGTAAGATGGAAAGCTTTATGGAGAAACATCATCCTAACAAGGTTGTTGCAAGCCAGGTTGGCAACATGTACAGTGACAAAGTCTTGGGCCATTTTAGGGAAGTGTTAAAGAGATGCCAGAAACAGAGCTCTCTCCACAGTTATTTTGTGAGACAGGACTCCAGTGACTTTCAAGGTGGTCCTAGTGGCATTAAGAAACAGAGAAGAGAAGCAACCCCAGAAAAGCAAATGGTACCTGAGGTGTTGATGGAAGGGGATTCCCCTTCCAAACTATAAACAATCCACTCTCCTCCTCCAGTCTCCCATACACTAAGAAGAATCTCCAATAAAGGTAAGTGTTATGCTGTTAATGTTTCATTCATCATTTCCCATTGCATTGTTTATGTACTACATGTATATTTCATGTTAAAATTTTTTTTGTTTTAATACTTCTGGGCGTCAGGAACGGATTAATTGTATTTACATTATTTCTTATGGGGAAAATTGATTCGTAAATTGTAAATTTCGTTTATAGTAACGGCTCCAGGAATGGATTAATTACGAAAAACGAGGGACCACTGTACGTTCTTGTCTATCACTGTCTATGTGTCTATCTCTTTCCAGCTCTGGCTCACAGGTAAACATAAATACAATTATACATAGTGTAAATTACCTAGGATAACTCAAAAAATCCAGACAAAGTGCTATACTGTGCTTGTAGATATAATGCATAAGAATACCTGTTGGTTCACAGTGGCTCTCTCTGAGACAGAAAGAGACAAGCAGACAGAGAGACAGATAAGCAGAGATACTAAGCTCATCAAATGTCACCCCTTATCTTATCACTGCACCCTCACTGGTGCTCATCAAATGTCCCCCCTTATCTCATCTAATCACTGCACCCTAGCATGGCTCATCAAATGTCACTGCTTATCTTATCACTGCATGTTCCTGAGGCTTGTCACTGACAATTGTTTTACATGCTTCAAGGAAACTTCTTCTTCTTTTTCTTCTTCTCCTTCCTTCTTCTTCCTTCTTCTTCCTTCTCCTTCCTCCTTCTTCTTCCTTCTTCTTCTTCTTTATTATTCTTATTATTATATACTTTAGTGTATCAAAAACATTGCTGGGACCTATAAATACTTTGTATATATTCCTAGGCAATAGTAAATGACCAAGGCAGGTGTACATGTCCACCTGTCAGTGTGTTTGTGACAATTTGAGTACAATTTCAGTACCCAGTATTATGAAATCACAAGAACTACTATAAATTGTAATTATCAGAACATAAAAATTATATAAAATATTATAAAAATGAGAAAAAAAGGTATTTCGGCAACACTTTTGCAAGCAGCAAGATTCAATGTTGCCGTCAGGTGAGCATTAAGTGCCAACTTCGCAGCCTCATATCTCGGTAAGTACTGACCCTAATTTTTTTTAATTTTAATCCTATAACACTTAGAAAAATGTTCTATTTTTTTTACTAGCTAATACCAGCTACCTCAAATACTTTTTACTTCTTTTTAATTGCTATTAATTGCTCATAACTTTGTGTTGCAAGTCAAATCTTACTTCAAATTAATGTTATTCATGGTTGCTACCTGTCCATTTAATTTTGTTTACTAGTACTTCTTTTAGTCCCTTTTATATTGTGTGAGCAAATACTGTATATTCCAATTACATTATTGTGCGAGTCCCAAAACTATCTTTTGTTAGCTAGTACCAACTACCTAATATTTTTTTACTTTTTATAGTGCAATTAATTGCTCAACTTATTATATATTACAAATCAGATCTTACTCCCAAATCAATATTATATCATAGTGACTATCTGTCCATTGAACTTTGTTTACCATTACTTAATTTAGTCCCTTATATATTTTCTCCCTTAT